TTTTCTTAAGAGAAATAAATCTGACAACATGGTTAGATCATTGCATACACCCCGGTAGTACCTGGTAAAGAACATATTTTATGGGCGGATCAATCGTCATTTCTTCCTCGAGCGCAAATATATGGAGTTTCCACTGTCAATTTCACAATTACCAATTATAATCCATCTAACAAATTCAAACCATGATGCAGATAATATATGTAAACTCTACAGAGCTAATTTTAACTTACTGGACACTGTTTACTGAGCTTCATGATTTCTCCACTCGAGTCTACAACATGTCGTTGTGCAAGACACTCCATAACAATTGACCGAGCTGGTAACCAAGATTTCGCATGAAAACGAACACACTATCAAAAGGTAGATACACAAGGTAAGATTTTTGAGACTGGTCTGGTAGTATTCTCAATTCATACTCAGATAGGCAAGCAAATAGAATCTGATGCTAATCAATTTTTATGAAACAAAGACAATGAAATCAGTTTCATTTATTGATCAGTAGACAATATTCGTTATCGTATCTAAAGCATTAGGTTGATTCATTCAAAGCAATTTCCACATTAGATTTGGCTTGAGTACTAGCATTTTTTCTTAATTGCACCTCATTTCCAAGAAGATTTAGAACCACATGATTTACGATAATTAGATAAGATAGAAGGGAAGAAACCTCCAAGAACTCAGAGCCAGCAAGTTCCATTGCCCGATGAAAGGCTTCATCTTCTTTGCTACTAGCCTGATCAGGTTCAATCCAATCTAAGTTCAACCTTCCAATCCTATGTGCCAAGCTCGTATTGTTTACATATCTTGGTGGCTGGTCAGTATCATACTGATTGATGCCATTGTCTATAGCATCTACCGCCTGTAATTGTATACAACAACGAGTTACCTTAAAAACAAGTAAATACATCACACTATATGAAAAGTTCAAGAACTTGTCCACAATCTCTAACATCAAAACTAAAATTGCTGTAAATGTCAGATAGAGTCATGACATGGTGACATTCGAAACACATGACAAAAAGGTTTAGCCAGGAAATCGAATACTACTTAGGGACTATCAGACAACAAAACACTAAACTTTCAAAGGCATAGCCATCTGAATGGATAGCTCACTCAATACACACCAATGAATCTAAAACAGGAATAGCAAGCAAGAAGCATTACCTCAATGAAGTTTTTGTACACAGCTAGAAACAATTGATGCGCATCGGGATGTTTCTGATCAAGTTGAAGCTCCTTCACAATTAACTCCAAGCCATAGTGCTAGAACACAAAAAAAATCAACACAAATTTCTCGAATTAACTACCAAATCACAAGAAAGTATCTTCATTTACCTTATAAACAAGCCCAACACTACTGAGTTTAGTATCATTATTAATTATACTTCCAAATATCATTATTATTTATTTGGAATATTTCCAAATATCATTATTATTTATTTTATTATTAGATTTATATTTAATTAAATATTCTTTAGAATATTCTAGAATGTTCTATGGATTTCCAGGGTTTTATGTTTTATTATAAATAGTCTTCTTAGCTTCCTTTGTATTTAGTTATTGATGAATTAAATTAATCGAAAGATTTCTAAAGAGGTTTTGTTAAACAACTGTGAAAAGTATTCGCAACCCCCAAGAGCTTTTGCGAAAAGCCTGAGAGGAGGAGCTTTTGCGAAAAGCCTGAGAGGAGGACTCTCAAACCCTAGTTTTTGGATATTCTCAGAATCAACGGATCTAATTATATCCTGAGAAGCTTCCGCTCCATCATAAACCCATGTCCAAACACTTCGGTAAAGCCTTTCTGGTGATGGTCATAACGCTCACTATCAGGATCATACACACCTCCAACATCAAGAGCCGCATCAACCTTCTCCAAAACCTTACAATTACATCACAAATCAAGTAGAAACTAAGGAACGATGATCAATTACTGCAAAAAATATCAATTAATACTCAAATCAACAAGAAATTATTCAAATTTTGAAGAATTTTACATTAAAAAACTCAAACCAAATCAACCCTTGTTGCCATTCTCGAACCATTTCTCGGAAATTGAAATTAAAGTCAAAGAAACAAGATTCAGACATAGATACGCTCAATTACAACAAGTACCTGATGATCTCTGGTCCGTACGATCTGAGCATCGGAGAATCTGCTCGAAAGACGAAGGATGAAACAAGCTAAGGTTTCGTCGCAATGGACGGTTCCATTATGGGTTCCAACCCGTTTCTGCTTCGCTACGGAATTCGTCGAGAAATTAGCTCGGAAGTTTCCAGAACGTTTGAGTAACAGAGAATGGTTCCAGATTCTGCTGCAACACAGACCTCTCGACCCAAACATGGCGAAAAGATAAACCAAAATGGTCAACGACAACGACTAAACCCTTGACGTCTCGTGGGTTTAAACTCGACTAAAACGTCATCGTTTTGGAAATTTGGGTTTTTTGGCAAAAACGTTGTCGTTTAGAGTTTACAGTTTTTTCCCCCACTTTTTGGAGTTCTTCTTATCTTATTTGCTGCTTGGGAATCAAGTTTTAATAGAGTTGATGAATCATTGGTTGAGCTACCTACCAATATGGTTGATCACCACACTCACATTTTGGTTATCAAATCTGTTTGTTTTTTTAATTATCTGCGACAAATATTAATTGATTTCAATGTACTAAATTTATTGTTTTAATCGTGAGACCCTAATTTAATCACTAATCATACAAAATTCAGATCAAAACCCAAATGACATTAACATTCTCAAATCAATGGACTTATCATAGATGGATAATATCTTGCAGTAAGCAAATCAACATAATTTCAATTTATTCAATGAAATCTAATTCATACTAGGCTCACACTAAAAATCAGGTTTTGTATATTTGCTACATAAACACCCTCACTTACTAGCTAAGTTTGTTCTTAAACCGTTTATTAAACTAACATGGCAAAATAGGAGTATTAAAGAAATGAAACCCAATTACTTTGGAAAGTCTTCAAACCAAAGGAAATTGAGAAAATGTGGTCTATAAGCATAACATCATTGCCTTCAACCAAATCACACCAAACATATTTTCATGATCATTCTTTCTTCTTCCTCATGCTAACCACGAAAACCGCGATAACTATCGACCCGAGTAATCAATTCGGAAAATAATAAACCGAATTTTTATATATGTCAACATCATAATAGATTGAAGGTTTAACAACTACGTTTTGGAACAGATTCGATACATTCTATAGAGACAAAGACATGTAGAAAAACAAAGACTGTATATATATAAATATGATTTCTCTTACGCATATCATCAAACACCTTACGAGCAATGTCTTTCGTTCACCTACTCATCTCTCTTCTCATCTGCATTACCTTCAAATCTTCAATCTCTGTCGTTCCTGACCCAACAACACAAAACCTAATCAACAGAATCTGCAAACAAACAATCGATTTCAGTTTCTGCAATCGATCAATCACATCTCAGCTAATCAGAAAACGCACATCAATCAAAACAATCGCGAAACTAACCGCGGCAAAAGCATGGATCAACGCCATAGAAACGCTTGATAACATCGAGGGTTCTCTTCTTCCGAAGGCGAAAGATCGTCGAGACAAAACAGAGTTCGATGCTTGAAGGAAAGCTTATAGATTGGTGGATGCTCATTTAGACAATGCGTTGAAGTATTTGTATCTTAGAGATTATCGATTCATGAGAGCTTATCAAGCTCTTGCGCTTATGAATATTTCAATGTGTAGGACGAGTTTTTTTCACCCGACTCCTATGGTTTATGCGAATTGGAATATGAGGATCTTGACGGATATGGCGATTTATGCTAGTAAGATTCTTGCTCCTCCTCCTCTTGGGAAGAAGACGAAGCCGTGAAAGTTATCGTTTTGATTATCCAATAGTATTTGACTATTTTGTCAGATTTTATTCAAACGAATTTTCGAGGAATGTTTATATACGATATAGAAAAAGGATTTGTAATGACTTTTTTTTCTTCGGCCATTAGAGGCGATTTGATGTAATTTAAGGTTTTTGTTCCTTGTGATATTACCCGATCTGTATTGTCTTTGATGATCCATCTGATGCTTGCGGTTTCTGATTCTTTACGCCAAGCAGCATCGGAGTGACATCGGAGAGACGAATCAGACGTTTCAGATCTCCTCACTGGGAGGGAAAAGATGCACTTGCTCTCAGTTGTTAGGGCCAGGAGCTATTCCCGAGCGTCCTGCACAGATTTGGTGATGGTTTCCTCGGTTAAGTAGGTTCGATCGGAGAAGATGATGTTGTTTCGAGCCAACCACAGATTCCACCAAATCCATGGGAATATTGGACCGGAAACGACTCCGGTTGGTGGTAGACATATCATTTGCTTGGAGGCTTTTATTCCACAAGTCATTTATGCATATTCAAGGGGATTAATCGGCGTTTTCAGGGGAATTAGCTTCCAAACGTCTTGTGCGTAAGAGCAATGAAGGAAGAGATGGGTAGTAGTCTCGAGCTCACCGCATCTGACACATCATGATTGCTTCACAATTCCCCTCGAAGCCAATTGTGCTCCAACAGGTAAAGCTCCATTTAACATCTTCCACAAAAATGTTTTTAGTTTTGGTGAAGTGTTAATCTTCCATATCTCATCATTCCACTTGAAGTCTGAAGAGTCTCCTTGCTCAGTAGCCTTCAAAATACCTTCTTTGGCTGTATGGTAACCCAATTTAATTTGGTAGGTACCAGAAGAATGTCCAAACCAAGCGAAGCCATCCGCTGCTCTGAGGAGGCTAGGTTTTAGACCAAGAATGTTATGCTCCCATTCAGGTAATAGATTTCTTATTTTCTCAATGTTCCATTCTTTTGAGCCTGGTATAAATAGCTCTGAGACCATCATAGTTTCATTTTCTGCAGTAGGTGGTCCAAAAGGTTAAAGCGGCTCT